GAGCAGAGCTAATTTGCATTTAAAGCGACATGCAATAGACCAATTTGGAGTAGACGTCACAGTTACGTCACTTGCAGCTGCGCGCGCATAGTGGTGGCAGAAAAACACTGGGAACAATTGGAAGGAAACGGGTAAAATCCATAGAATAAGAGAAAAAATGTATTGTTGTGCCTTTGGATGACAGAATCGGAATGAAAATAAATTTTATATAAAACTGTCGTCAAAGACGCCATTTGAAGCTAAACGCAGACGTTTCACAATTTTGCGAAAACTCCTGATATAATCAATGACTTACTACACAATCAATCTCTTATTTTCACCGTATGTATGCCTTTTTCTCGTTATAATAGCAAGATCTTGCGAGCATGTAGAACTCCGTAAACTTGTGAAAACAAAAACTAGTTCAGAGCGGATTCTGACTGACCTACAGTAAACACTGCTGATTGGCCATTAGGGGCTTTCGTAATGGAGGAACCTTTTCATAAGCCATTTCTCCATACCAAGTACGCAAGGTTCGGACTTGCATCCTTGGTAGTTCGGACTTGGCAAGTTAGACTCGGGAGGACGCCGCAAATCCAGTAATTCTGCAAATGGAACAGCAGCGCACTTGATAACATCACTCAGCTCGCCTTGGCTACTCCGCTTATCGTCACTGTATTTATATTTACAATAATATGAAATATGGTATCAAACACCACTGCCTCTTTTCAGCTCAGAACTCAAAACAGCTCAGATCACACCGTCCTCCATTCACCGGTTGTTGATGTTTGTAAATGCCGCACATAAAGGCTTCAGAGTTCCAGCTTCCAGTGCCAATACAACCAGTAAAACAGCCCAAGGGAGAAATTGGTTCTCTAGGGACCACCCTGCTGGCTAGCTCCTAGAACTGAGTTCCTAGAACTACGTGGTGCGAAAGCCCCTATTGATTTCAATAGAGATGCCTGTGATTTGCTACAAACGCTGCAAAACCAGAGCGTGCACAGAAAAACACACAGGAGCGTTTGAAAGCGGTTGACTTTGAGTGTGTACAGAATTGAGTTGGTACTACTGGTACTGTAAAAAGATCCCCTGCAAGAAGAAGAAAATGGAGAATGTTACCACCAGTCTTACCTCAGTTTTTCCAGCTTACAGTGAGGATCCTTCAGTCCATCAGAGAGCAGCTTCACTCCTGATGCTCCTAGTTTATTCAGTGACAGATTCATATTTCTCATGTGTGAGGGGTTTGATTTCAGAGCTGAAGCCAAAGCACCACAACCTTCATCTGTAACACCACAATCCATCAACCTGCAGAGATTGAAGATGCATGGTGAACTGATACAAGCTGCGACTACAGAATAAAATGTAAAACATTCACATAAACATCATTACAGGACAAACAGTCCTAATCATGCAGCATCTACTGTACAAAAAAAAAAAAAAAAACACTGTTAAAGACACTGTTGCTGTTTGCTGTCAGTTTTGATCCCAGTCACATTCATACACTGACCTCTACAATCATCAGCTCTTACACAGACACACAAAAATCTCCTCAGGTGCTTTAGTAAGCACTCTCCTGCTGACTGTCAGTGATGGGATTTTGTGGAAATTTAACCCTTTTGTTGCTTTGGTAAGATGCATGCTAAAGTCAAAATCATGTTCATGTGATCATGTTTTATCAGTGTAGTGATTGTTGTCAGTCTGACTTACTGAACTAATTTGGATTCTTTAACCACAGGCAGCAGCTTCTGAAGAACTTCATCTGCTGTATTTTGGGATCCAATAAACAGTTTTAGTTTGAAAACATCCATCCTCTGCTCTGATGTCAGCAACACATAAACCAGAGCTGACCACTGTGAAGAGGAGAGTTTGGTTTCTCTTATTTTTCCAGATTTCAGATAATCTTGAATCTCCTGCATCAGTGAATCATCACCCAGTTCATTCAGACAGTGGAACAGATTGATGGATCTCTCTGGAGAGAGATTCCTCCTGATCTTCTGCTTGATGTACTCAACTGTTTCCTCTTTGTTGTAGGAGCAGCTTCCTGTCTGTGTCGGTAGTTCTCGTAAGAGAGTCTGATTGGACTCCAATGAGAGACCCAGAAGAAAACGCAAGAAAAGGTCCAGATGTCCATTTTTACTCTTGAAGGCCTTTTTCACAGCTCTCTGATGCAGCTCAGATAATGAAACATGTAAAGCCTTCTTTAAATGCTTCAAAGGACTAGAAGACAGAGTAATAAACACATTTCTGTTTTTTTTCATAAGGAACAGATGTGCATATAGTGCTGCTAGATGTTCTTGGATGCTCAGATGAACAAAGCAGAAGACTTTCCCCTGAAACAATCCAAACTCCTCTCTGAAGATCTGAGTGCACAATCCTGAGTACACTGATGCTTCTGTCACATCAATGCCACACTCTCTCAGGTCTTCCTCATAGAAGATCAGGTTGCCTTTCACAAGCTGCTGAAAAGCCAGTTTCCCCAGTTTGAGGATCATATCTTCATCTTTGACTTTCTTCTCATAGTCCTTCTCATGTCTGATGTTGGTCTGAATGATCAAGAAGTGTGTGTACATTTGAGTGAGAGTCTTGGGAATCTCTCCACTCTCTGCTTGACTCAACATCTTCTCTAGAACAGTGGCTGAGACCCAGCAGAACACTGGGATGTGGCACATAATGTGGAGGCTCCTCGAAGACTTCAGGTGTGAGATGATTGTATTGGCCAGACTCTGATCTCTGATTCTCTTCCTGAAGTACTCCTCCTTCTGTTGATCATTGAAGCCTCGTACCTCTGTCACTCGATGGACACACTCAGAGGGAATGAGATCAGCTGCTGCTGGTCTGGAGGTGATCCAGATGAGAGCAGAGGGAAGCAGGTTCCCCACAATGAGGTTCATCAGCAGCACATCCACTGACACTGATTCACTTACATCACACAACCTCACATCGCTCTGAAAATCCAGAGACAGACGACACTCATCCAGACCATCAAAAATGAACAACACTTTATATTCATCACTGGATATTTCTATTTCTTTGGTTTCAGGGAAAAAGATATGAAGAATATCTGAAAGACTGAGTGTTTTGTCCTTCATCAAGTTGAGCTCTCTGAAAGGCAGTGGAAATATGAGCTGGACGTCCTGATCCTCTTTCCCTTCAGCCCAGTCCACAATGAACTTCTGCACAGACACTGTTTTTCCAATGCCAGCGACTCCCTTTGTCAGCACAGTTCTGATGGCTTTGTCTTTACCAGGTAAAGGTCTAAAGATCTCATTGCATTTGATGGCTGTGTCCTCTGTTGCTGCTCTCCTGGATTGTGTCTCAATCTGTCTCACCTCATGCTCATTACTGATCTCTCCACTCTCACTCTCGGTGATGTAGAGCTCTGTGTAGATCTCATTCAGGAGTGTTGGGTTTCCCTGCTTTGATGTTCCTTCATACAGACACTCAAACTTCTTCACCAGATTTGATTTGATTGTGCTTTGGGCCAGTTGAGAGTCACTGAGAGAAAGATTAAAATAAGAGATTACAACATGAATTAAAGCGGTAAAATTGACAGTAATTTAAAGTGACACCTGCTAATCTAATGATGTCATTATCCACTGGATACAGTGTTATGTAGCAGAAGCATAGATGTTATCACATATATAGCATTTGGTCCAAGTGGAAAAAAGTAATACAATTTTCTATCTAGGTTAAACCTAGAAATGTTGTACCTCAGATTTGATTGGTTTTTCCCATTAAATATTACTGACCTTCCCATAGATGCTTCACTCTTCATGGACACACAGCTGTGCTTCGTTGCGTTTGATCTCTGCCTGTAAAATTGACTTTAAAAGAATAGAAAAGTGTCTACTTAAGCAGATATTCAGTTAGGCAGAAGCACATCAAGGCAATGAGTACATATTCATTTCCCAAATGTTGACATGAATAATTTCTGTTTATTATATAAAGCCAGGCTGAATTATAATATGAAAAAGCATGAAACTGAATGAAACATGTGACTAATAAGACAGAATGTTGATCAAAACTCCTTTGGGGGTTGGTCAACCATGCAGAGTTTCCTGAACCACATTCCGTAACAGAAACAGAGTTTAATAAAATACAATATATATACATACATATATATACATATACATATATATATATATATTATATATATATATATACATAAAATACAATATATTGAGACAATACAATATATATAAGAGAAAGTAATTAATTACATTTTACATGTAGATAAACTAGCATAGAGAATCTATCTACCTATATATATATATATATATATAGACAGAAAAGTTGTACCTCAGATCTGTTGATATGTGTTTTTCTTCAAATGTTATTATGTTGTCTTTAGAACGGTCACTGTTCATGGACACATGCCTATAAAAACATATTAAAAAGAAAAGAAAAGAGACAAAACGATATAGAGAACGAACTTAAATTAATTTTACATGTAGATAAACCTAGCACAGATCATTCATACCTATCTATCTAGACAGAAAGGTTGTACCTCAGATCAGTTGATGTGCGTTTCCCTTTAAATGTTAATATGTTGTCTTTAGAACAGTCACTCTGCATGGACACACGTTTGGAATCAAGTGAGTTTGATATCTGACTGTGGAACCAAAATTAATAGAACAAAGACAATAGAAAAAAGATAATAGAATAAAGACAAGAATTAGTTGATTTCACATGTCATATCATTCTTCTGTCTATACAAGAGAAGCTTTAGAAATGTTGAAGAATTATAACACTGCACAAGGATGATGTTACAGAGATAACAGCATCCTAACTCATAAGTAGGAATATGAGAAAAGCACTCAGAATATCTTATCATTAGCCTATGGCACAACTACCATATTATAAGACATACAGTGTATCTTCTATAACATTATGATCATATAAAGATTTTGATGTACCTGCATCCTGGAGAAAAATCTCCATCGCTGAATGTTTCTTTGTCTTCCATGATTCATTAAGTCTGAATGAAGCTGCACGTGTATGTCTGACGAGTCAGAAACACTGACAATGTATTTAAATTGTTAATTTACTTGAACTTCACACCTGAATATTTTTTCTAACGTGTTTCCCAGTTTGTTTACAATTTGTTTATTTAAATGTTTAATTAAAATGATTAAATTAAATAAATACGAGTGAAAAGAATAAGCATTTTTTTTGTTTTGTTTTCGAAATTGTGGCTTCTACAACATTTGGATGTTTAAAAGTGATGTTTCCTAATTTGCACTGATACACAAGAATATATGGCCTACATCTCCACCAATAAGAACATTTGACATAAGAAATCTTTGTTTAAATACTTAATTTTTAAGTTTTTAAAATACCTTCTTATAATAGTTAGTTTAGTTAACGAGGAAGTCAAAAGCAGCTCACCTGACTAATGCTCACTCACTCTGATCAAAATCACACAGGTTCCCAACATGTTCGCAGTTTCTCATGGACTGTTTCATCATGTAAATTCCTGCATAGGTAACTACAAATTTTACTATTTAACACGATGCTCGGTTTGTCCCGGTGTAAAATGGCGCACAGTAGAACTCTCAGAATGCTTTCATTTCTGGTAGCAAATGTTGCCAGACTTGTTTGGAGAGAATGCAGCTTATCCAGTTCATAAAAAATTCTGTTATGAGAAAGACACCAGTACAAGTTTTATTTACTTCCCATTTAGAGAAGATTTTGTGATTCTCTTTCGACAAACAATCATGTTATACAAGCTCAAATAGGAGATTATTAGTGTGGGAAAGGCTTTATGAGTTTTAAGCATAAGAAGCCGACCTCATACGTCATCCGCCCGGAGCTGCTTCTGTGTACAACTGTTGGCGCAAGCTACATTAACTCTTTAAAGTCTATTGGTTTTGAGCAACTCCCGCGTCTCCTCATTTCCTCATTCCCTTGCTCCCCATGAGAGTGTGACAGGAATAGGGTATAAACAGGGTACTGGATAAAATAGGGCCTGAAAAGTCTTTTTTATAAAAAATTGAATTCACACACACACACACACTCACACTCACACAGAATAATAATAATAATCACAACATCTTATCTGTTTTAATGTTAATCTGTGGAATGTTCTTCACATCAACACACCTATAGGAGGAGAAAATGAGATGATTTCCACAGATGACAGCAGGTATGTGTGTGTATGACTGTGATAGTGAATGTTTCTCAAACTCTTTGTGGTAGACACGGAGACAGGGCAGTCGAGCAATGGTGTCCCCCTGAAGCATGTCATCCAGACACGAACACTCACCAGAGTCCCGGGACAAAACATCATCTACAGAAAGAGAAATCATCACAACATCACTATCAGCATCAGAGCTATTACACAACAACAACAAAATCAGCATTAAAAATAGTGCAGGAAAGAAACAGTTTGTCAGTGGAGCCAATAGCTAGTCATGAAATAAAATGTTATATTCAAGCTTTTGGCTATTTTTTCAGTACCTTCAACTCTGTTTGAGAGCACAAAATTGTAGAAACAGGCCAATGATTTAACTGGATAGATGTGTGATAGTGAAGGTTGTTCTTACTGTTATAATGGAGTCTGGGTTTGAAGAAAAACATGACCAAACAAACATCTATTTCATCAAAACAGACAAACTAGACAGTCAAACTGGATATTTAAATCCTGATGAAACAAACAGAACAGACAAAAGTCATGCATAACCTAAATCATCTTTTTATCATTTCCTTTTTCTGCATTTAATCATGTATGCCAATTCAGAGATCACACTTATTTATTTCTTCTCAGTATGCAGAAAGATCACATAAACCACATGGACAACACAAACCCTAATTATGTTTCCTGCTAGTAAAATCAAAAGCCCCAAATCACTACTAAGGACCTGCAGGAAGATTCAACAGGACAGGAGTAGTGCTGCACCGCTCTACTGTGTTGTATTGCTTGCACAAACATTACCTGCATGGAAAAGTCTTGGAAAACCTTACCTATGTTTTAATTACAAAACCCATGTCTGAGATCGGCCAAACACACACACACACACACACACACACACACACACACAACTCTGTATAGCTATCTTTGCGAGGACATTCATTGAGACAATGCAATCTCTAGCTCCTAACCCTAACCCTACCCATCAGAACTAAGTGCCTCAACCAAACCCTTACCCTAAACCTACCCTTTACCCAATGATAACCTGACACCTAACACCAAGTCTTGACCCTCAAACAGGCCTTTAAAGGGGTCTCAGAAAGTGAGGACTGGCCAAAATTTTGAATTCACTCTGATGGTCTAAAACTCAAACCGACCCTCACAAAGATAGCTGTACAAGTGCACACACACACACACACACACACACACACACATACTTAGATAAGCCAGAGCTGCCAGTGGCACAGGCCTTTACTGAAAATACTAGTGTTCTAATCATTTTGGCCACCACTGTATAATAAATCTATACATATAAATTATAAAGCCAAAGTTTTATTTTCATTTTCACCCAAGTTCTGTAGTTAATGTACAGTAGACATTAACCATTCCAAAGCGATCTTAATTTAAATAGCATAAACATTTAAGAGTATTAAATGCCTGTATTCACTACTCAGTCTCTACTGTAGCTCCCGTGTCCTATTTCCACAATGCATCGCGCTGTAACATCACGTTCCAATTCTCTATAGGCCATAAACATATGTGCCTGACTTGTTTCATAATTATCATGATAAGTGACAATGAAGGGTCTCTTCTTCATTTGAATGTTTATCTCGTCTCATTCTTCATCTAGGTTGTGTGTTTAGGGGCTCAACAGAACGGCTTGACTCAAAACTACATACAGAAGCTTCTGGCACTGGAGACAAACAACTACAGCGGCACTTCCATATAGGATCAGATTACAGACATCCAGAAATTACCTGCAGAAAACATCAGTTTGTTATTAAACACTACTGTAGATTCAAATGTTTCAGCAGAATCAGTGGAAGCAGAATGTTTTGAGGGTAAACATCTGAGACAATGCCATGACAATTTATATAAAATAAAACAAAGATTACAAAAACGTAAAATCATTTAACTTTACTTTCAAAGTGCAAATTGTTTTTTTTTTAAGTAAATGAATCACTATAAAAGGCATAAATTTTAACCCACTCTGGTTTGAAATCTATTTTAATAAGGACTGAACAGAAGATACAGATATTGTCACAAACAACTGACAATATTATTATGTAAAATGTGGTGCCAGAACAAATGTCAGTTCTGAAGAAACAAACAAAAGTTTTCTTTGTTTGACTTTGGATCAAGGATTGGATCGTTCCGTAAAGTTACACAAGCACATGCGTGTGTGATGATCGCTATGGGTTTGTGTTTGTTGATTCTGTTGAATGTGATGTCTGTCTGTAGTGTCTCTTTATTCACCATCAGCTGATCCAGAGAAGATCAGACTAACATTTTTAATCTGAAAGTAAAACACAGAGAGTCAAATGTGTGTGACATTACTGCAGTATCCATGTTAGAAGAACTAAAACAAACTACTGTATTTGCATTATATGTCAATGATAACAAACAAGCATTATCTTGCATTGTTATTCGCTGCTGTGATAAACCCTGGAATGTCATAGCAATTCTACTGCAAAAGGGGTTGCCTACACTGCAATCACATTCTTCACACTGTCACTTTTTTACTATGATTATGGGCTTGATAACATCAGTTTGATCAAAGTATTGTTTACATGAGGTAAGGTTTAATCAGAATTTTGCCTAAATCTCATTATAATCACACTATGAGGGTACATATAAATGCAGTCAATATAAAAGCAATATATTGTATTGTTTTGAAATAAAGTTAAGAATCAAAATTTGATTAAACATGTTTATAGTGTGTAAATAACTATTACCAAGAAAGTGACCTAAGACAAAGAAACTATTAACTTTTAATTAAAATTCTAACATTTTGAATCATCACTAGCTCACATAATCATCTCCAGTTTATAATCTGGATCATCCTTCAGATCAGAGAGCAGCTCCACATCTGAGTCTCTTAATTTATTTCCAGACAGATTCAGTTCTCTCAGGTGTTCAGGGTTTGATCTCAGAGCTGAAGCCAGAGCAGCACAACCTTCATCTGTGACACCACAATAACTCAACCTGTAGAGAACAATGACACTCTTCAGTCTCTCAGTTCATGATCTACAGCTCAGATAAACAGGAACTTCACTATCAGAGAGAAAGACTTAATCCACAACACGATTAACAGCTCCAGTCTAAGATTCAGAACAGCTTCTTAAAGGGTTAGTTCAACCAAAAATGAAAATTAGGCTGCGTTTTACTCACCCCCGAGGCATCCTAGGTGTATATGACTTTCTTCTTTCAGACGAATCCAGTCGGAGTTCTATTAAAAATTGTCTTTGATCTTTCAAGCTGTTTAATACCACTCAGCGGGTGTTGCATTCCTTCAGTCCAAAAGAAGTGAAATAAAAAAAATATAAAAAAGTGTCTCACACGGCTCTGGGGGGTGAACAAAGGCCTTCTGTAGCGAATCGATGCGTTTTTGTAAGAA